AATTCCAAATCTCCCTGTAACTTCAAAAAATAAAACCTGTGCACATCTATTTAGAATCCCAGTTCTTTAGTTTTACTTCTCATTTTGGAAATTCGAAATAACGGTGCAGATGTGATGACCTTCAAAAAACAAAAATAGATGGCAACTCTAACTGAAAATATTATCAGCCTATAGTTTTCTTAAAACTCTTTCGTTTGACACTAATATTTCGATATTTCATGTATGTATCTTTCGTATAAGTAAAACAAAATCGACTTTTTAAAAGTATTTTCAAACTAAAATCTTTCGCCTGGCANATCTTTCGCCTGACATTGTTATACATATTTCAATTAACTGATGAATTAAGTTGAATTTAATTTTTTTAAGCACATGGCAACTCTCCTAAATACAGTTAAGAAATAAATTATTTTCAAACTCTTTTCGATTGATATCCATCTTTTGACAATCCATTTAACTTATTAAATAATTTGAGCTTAATTTTTTCAACAAAAAAAAACAAACGTTCAATGCAAAGATTTCTTGACGCTCGTTCTTTTGATAACCATATTTTAAAATTTCATGTAACTTATGTATAATTCAACGAAATACCACTTTCAAAACAGGCGGCAACCCTCTTAAAAATTATTTTCGAACTAAAATTTCCTTAAATATTTTTCGTCTAACATTGTTATAAATATTTCAAGTAACTGATGAATTAAGTGAAAATTTATTTTTTAAACACGTGGCGACCCACCTAAATATAGTTCTTAAATAAAAGATTTTAAACCCATTTCCATTGATAACCATCGGTTAGTAATTCATTTAACTTATTAATTAATTTTAGTTTAGTCCTTTAAACTGGGGCAACCCTTAAACACATCAAAAATGTTCTAAATTGGGGTATTCACAACGGTGTCGTAAGTGTCGTATTGTCGTCAACTTTAAACGCCTAAAATATATATTAAGGGGGTTGGCAAAGTACCATCAAAATCATATTTTGAATTTTCGCAGTATTAAAAATTAGTTGGTTGTGGTTTCAAGTTCTCTAAACATTTATTTATGCTTTTAAAGTTTACGACATAAGTACAACAATACGACACTTACGACATCGTCGTGAATCCCCCAATAATTTTTTGAAGATCTTTCATTTGACATCCATCGTTAATATTTCATATAACTTGGGTTTAAAATAGTTCAATTAGACTTCTCAAATATGTAGGTGGCAACCCTATTTAAAATATTTCCAAACTACTATTTTCTTAAACTTCTTTTGTATGACACCCATATAGCGATACCTTATTCACTTACCAAATTCCTTTAATTAAAATTGAATTACATTTTTTTTAAGATGTGGCAACACTCCTAATTACGTAGTTAAGTTATAAAGCCTTTTCAAAACCATTTCGTTTGATACCCATATTTAATAATAATTTACATATATAATAATTTTTATCAAAATTTTATTTCGAATTATTTAAATGTGCTTTAAATTTGTTTCTTTGTATATATCTAAATTAAAAATTGAAATAATTTGGCAATTTTGCGAGAAAAAGATGACAAATCATTATGCAATTTGCTACATCTATTTAATTAAGTTTTAAGGGGTTTCTTTCCATGTAAATATGTATATATTTATAACCACTTGGCGATACGATCTCTATCGATTCAAATTAAAAAAAAAGAAAGGCTTATCTCATAAAAGTGATGTTAGGCTCAGACCAACATACTTATTTATAATTTACTTACTGAAATAAAATGATGCTCATCATTTAGCTCTAAAAATTGACTGGAGCCTAATTTCGCTTTGATTTTTGGGGTCATCAGGCCAATAACTTTGAATCAAGTGTCTCGAGAGCGTATCGAAGTTTTTTGCACCGTTCAGTGTTGCTAACATTTAACAACTAATTAGTATTCAACTATTACAGATTTAAGGATTTTACATTTTTTTATTATCTTTAAATGTTGATTAAATTTTTCATTCTTTATTGCATTTTAGGCTGATTTTCGCCGCTGCAATAGCTGGAGCATTAATGAGCGCAGATGCGGTAAGGCAAAATTATAGTTTTTTTTTTAATTCTAAGAAACTCTGCTCATTTTTCGATTTTATTTTATTTCTCCTTTAGCATAATCTCCATTTTCCTTTGCCGGTTCACCTTTCTCACCCTTAACGCCAGGCTGGCCTGGATAGCCGCGCGGACCAGCCATACCACTCAAACCTTGTAGACCGGGTATACCGTCTTGGCCATCGCAACCATCTTTTCCAGGCGCACCAGTAGTACCGGGATTTCCGGAAATACCTTGTACGCCAGGTACTCCAGGCATACCAGGAATACCGGGAACACCGCGTTCACCCTTATAACCGCGAGGACCTAGCGGACCTGGATCGCCTTTTTGGCCCTTATCGCCGGGTGGACCTTCAGGACCTGGATAACCAGGCAAGCCCGTCGGTCCGGGGGGTCCAGCTTCACCGGGAAAACCACGGTTACCCTTTTCCGCGAAACATTTTGGAATGCATCCAACTGTGCCGGATGTACAATTTCTTGGCGGTCCTTGACGATTTGAGGTTACAGTATCGATAATCGCATAACTATCGTCTATTGGGGAACGCGGAGGTGTTGATTCATCTCTGTAATGATTGGGTGGGTTGTAGATCGCACCAGTATCGGTATTTTTCCAAAATTGCTAGA